AGTACCCAGATGTACTTCTTCTGTCAACTCTGTCTCCACACCAATCAGAGTCTGAATAACTCAGAAGTTCTGACTCATTATTTCCTCCAGAGGGAAATAACACTCCATACTTCAGAGTTCCTTTGATATACCTCAGAATCCTGACAGCAGCTTGGTAATGGGACCACTTAGGTTTACTCATGAACCTACTAACCATCCCAACTGAGTAGCAAATATCAGGTCTGGTATTGCACAGATACCTCAGAGAACCAACCAACTGTTTGAAGGTTGTAGCATCCACATCCTTTCCTTCAGAGTCTGAATCCAGTTTCTGATTTGTATCAGAAGGTGTGACAGCCATCTTACAATTCTTCAGATCAAATCTCTTCAGAAGTTCTAATTCATACTTGAGCTGATGCAAAATGATACCTTTCTCAGAATATTTGAACTCCATCCCTAGAAAGTATGTCATTTTGCCTAGATCAGTCATTTCAAATTCATTCATCAGAACTTTCTTGAACTTGGCTATCTCCTGTTCAGAACTTCCAGTCAATAGTATATCATCAACATATAAACATACCAGAGTCATATTGCCTTCAGAAGTATGCTGAACATAGACACCGTACTCCATCTCACATTTCTGAAAGCCTTGCTTCTTGAAAAATGAATCAATCTTCTGATTCCAAGCTCTGGGCGCTTGTTTCAATCCATATAGAGCTTTGTATAATCTGTACACCATCCCTTCCTGATTCTTTTTCACAAATCCAGGAGGTTGTGACACGTAAACTTCTTCTTCTAATGGACCATTCAGAAATGCAGATTTTACATCTAAATGCATCAGAGGCCAATTCCTGTTAGCGGCTATTGCAATCACCATTCTGATTGTTTCATGTCTTGCTACAGGTGCAAACACTTCAGAATAATCCAGCCCAGGTTTCTGTAGAAATCCTTTGGCTACCAACCTTGCTTTATGTTTGCCAATTGAGCCATCTGGCTTTAACTTCTGCTTGAAAACCCATCTGACGCTGATGGCTTTCTTGTCTTTTGGAAGTTCTGTCAGCTTCCAAGTCTTGTTTCTCTCTATAGCATCAAGTTCTTCTTTCATGGCCTTCAGCCAGAGCTTCTGCTTAAGAGCCTCCTCTGTACTTATAGGTTCAGAGTCTACTAACATGGCACACTGAATAACTTCTCCTTCAGAGTCTACTTCAGTGTCTTGCAGCATGTCAAATTCTGCAAATCTTCTGGGAACGCTTCTGATTCTTTGTGGTCTCTGAACTTGTTCAGAGTCTTGAGCTTCAGAGTTTCTAGCTTCAGATGATTGACCTCCAGAGCTTTGACCATCTTCAGAGTCTGGCATATTTCCAGAGTCTGAATTGCCACCAAGATCTGGATTGCCATCAGAGTCTGAATCATCAGAGTCTGGGTCATCTGGGTCACCTTCATCTTCTGAGTCTTCTTCAGAGTTTGAATCAGTATCAGAGTCAGAGTCAATATCAGGGTTTACTTCAACTTCAGAAATTCTTAACTCTGGCCTTTCTTCAGAGGTTCTAACATCAGAATCAGATTGAGACTTATCCCAATTCCAAACTTCTGATTCCTTCACAATCACATCTCTGCTGAATTCAATTTTATTGGTTTCTGGACAATAGAGCTTGTATGCACCTGTACTGTGGTACCCTATCAGAATCATCACTTTGCTTCTATCATCCAGCTTCTGTCTTCTGGCTTCTGGAACATGTTTATAGCAAACAGAACCAAATACCTTCAGATGACTAACACTTTGCTTGTCTCCAGTCCACTTCTGCATAAGAACTATTTCCTTCAACTTCTTCGTAGGACATCTGTTGAGTACATACGTTGCAGTGGCAACAGCTTCTCCCCAGAGCTTCTGAGGAAGCTTCTTCTCCTTTAGCATGCTTCTCACCATATCAAGCAAAGTACGGTTTCTTCTTTCAGCAAGACCATTGTGTTGAGGGGTATAAGGAGCAGTAACCTCATGCTCAATTCCATTCTCCTCACAGAACTTCTGGAACTCTTTGGAGTTATACTCACCTCCACCATCAGTTCTAAGAATCTTCAACTTCTGACCACTCTGATTCTCAGCCTTCATTCTGAACTTCTTGAATTCATCAAACACCTCGTGTTTGAACTTAATAAGGGATACCCATGTCATTCTTGTGAATTCATCAACAAACAACACAAAGTATTTGTTCCCTCCAATTGATGCTACTGGAAATGGACCACACACATCAGAGTGTACAACTCCCAAGGCATGTTTTGCTCTTGGAGCAACTTCTGATGCAAATGGCAATCTTGGTTGTTTTCCTTCCATGCAAACTTTGCATGACTTTTCAGGCTTCTTAATTGCAGGAATTCCATGTACCAATTTCTTTGAATTCAGATGTTGTAAGCTTCTGAAATTCAAATGACCAAATCTTCTGTGCCACAGCTCACTCTCCTTCTCAGCACATGTTGCACTAAGACATTCTGAGTCTGCAGTTCTGACATTCACCTTGAATGTTCTATTCCTTCCCTGTTCTGACTCCATAATCAACTTCTGATTGCAGTCATACAGCTTCAGAAGATTATCCTTCATGGTAACTGAGAAACCTTTCTCAATTAATTGTCCCACACTCATCAGATTGCTTCTGATGCCAGGTACATACCACACATTCTGAATCAATGCTATTTTTCCATTGTTCAGAGTCACTCTGACATTTCCCATACCTTCTGCATTAAGATATTTGTCATCAGCACATCTGATCTTTGTTCTCTTTTCAGAGTCAAAGTCAACCAGCCATTTCTTGTTTCCAGTAAGATGATTTGAACAACCAGTGTCCATATACCACCAGTCTGTCAGATCATCAGATTCAGAGGCCATCAATAGCACAGATTCGTCATCAGAACTTCTGGCTATATTTGCTTCTTCTGATTTCTTCTCCTTGTTTGACCAACAATCTCTAGCAAAGTGACCAAACTTCTTACAACAGTAACATTGGATCTTCTTCTTGTCATACTTCTCTTTTCCCTTCTGAGCATTCTTTTGTCTATCAGAGGTTGAGCTTTCTGACTTCTGACCACCATCAGATCTTCTCTTGGCTTCTGACTGCTTCTGATACCTCCTATCAGAAGTTGCTTTCAGAGCCTGCTGCTCTACTTCCCTTTCAGAAGTTCTCTCAGTCAAACGCAACTCTTGCGCTTCTAGACTGCTCTGCAGCTCTTCAATTCTCATGGTGCTCAGATCTTTGGAATGTTCTATTGCTACCACAATGTAATCAAATTGAGGAGTAAGGGATCTCAATACCTTCTCCATGATTGTTTCTTCAGAAAGAGTTTCTCCACACGCCTTCATCTCATTAGTGATCAGAATCACTCTGGAGATGTATTCAGAAACTTTCTCATTATTCTTCATGTTGAGATTCTCATATTGCTTTCTCAAGGACTGAAGCTTCACCTTCTTCACTGATGCGTCACCACCATAACATCTCACCAGAGTGTCCCATGCAGCCTTTGCTGTTGTAGAGTCTGCAATCTTCTCAAATACGTTTACATCCACACATTGATGAATGAAGAACAATGCTTTCTGATCCTTCTTCCTTACTTCCTTCTGCGCGTTTTTCTGTTCATCGGTTGCATCTGCTGCTACTGGAACATAACCATCAGTGACAAGATCTAGAACATCTTGAGCACCAAATAGTACACGCATTTGGATCATCCAACGATTCCAGTTTTTACCATCAAATACTGGAAGTTTGGTGTTCATGTTGCCGTTTCCGTTCATCTTCTACTTTGCACAATACACTCAGATTTCTCACACAGTGTTTCCCAACCCACAGAATAAAATTCTGATCAGATTTTGTTCAAGATTCAACACGAATCTAAGAATCAAAATCAAACACACAAGACCTCACGTTCACTCGTGTTTCCCAATGAATCTGAACCGGAGCTCTGATACCAATTGTTGGTGCAAAGATAGAATAATGAAAATAGGGAAATATTCTATTAAAGAGAATGACGGCAAAAGAAACAGGATTAAGAGTTACAATGATTGTCACCCTATTTATAGGCTAAAACTAGGGTTACTAGAATAAGATAAAATACTGAAATGCCCTCTAACAAACTTATGGGCTTAAGAAAATAATATAATAAAATATGAATTATTACTAATAACTTTAAGGGTCAATTTGGTTAGAGATTTGAAAGAAATCGAAGGATATGAAATATTTAAAATAATAGTTTTTAGTTCAATTTTAAAGAGGAAAAGAGAGAAAAATAATATCTTCCGATTAAAATCTCATAATTTTTCGTTTACTTGAATTAGAATATTTTTTATGTAGGAGAGAAGAAATATTAAAATATTATTTATTATATTGATAAAATTAATTTCAATTTTTTTATAAAATATATAATTTTATATTAAAAAATATTAAAAGTTTAAATTTTCTATTTAACTAATATTCTTCTATTTTGATATTGAGTTTCTTTTGTTGCAATATAACTAAATTTTATTTTTATATTTTAATTCAAAATATAAAATAAAATATAGTTGTAATAATAAATTTATTCATATTTATTTAAATAGACTGATACAATAGATTTAATTAATTTTTTTTTTATGGTCCTTGATCTAATCTTTCTAACTAAATAAATTTATAAAAAAATTTAGTTTTGAAAAATATCTAATCTATTGTAGATTAGACTAGAACCTTATTAGTCTATACCCTCTTCCTATTCCCACCCTGTTCCTCTCCAAACTAACCATAAATCACCCTCCTCTCCAAATTGACTGACCATAGGGCATACCAATAAGAGAGTCAATAAGAGCGGCAAATTAAACATAGGAGAAGAAGAAAGGGGACCTCAAAATTTTGTCTGATAGTCGTGTGTGTTACGTGTATCCAACTTCTTCCCCGCATTCACTTACACGTTTTCATTACGACTTATTATTACTCACTTCACTTATCACCTTAACATTCAACTTCCTCTTCTCCCTCTCTACTAACAAACTATCTCATTCTTTCATGGCATCGACCACGCGCGTCACTCACTGCAACCTCCGCCCATCAAAACCATCCTTACGCCCTCTCCCCGAAAAACCCGGTCCGGTTCGGATTTCCATCCCTAAACCCAAACCAACCGAATCAGAAGGCGCAAACACCAACATCCTCCTGCAACCGCGCCTATGCACCCTCAGATCGTACGGCTCCGATCCAATCGCCGCCGTAATCAAAACTCGTAAACAAGGTACGCAAGTTACCGATGACGTGTCATCATTCTTCGCCACGCTTTCGGAATACATCGAGAGTTCTAAGAAAAGTCAAGATTTCGAAATCATCTCCGGTCGTCTCGCAATGGTAACTAAACCCTAACACTAACACTAAGTAACATTCACCGTTACTATTATAGTTTACAAAAAATAATAATTATTAATTTCTTTTTTCACGTGGCGGTGCAGATGGTGTTTGCGGCGACGGTTACGGTGGAGCTGGTGACGGGAAACTCGGTGTTCAGGAAAATGGATATTGCAGGGATAACGGAGGCCGGTGGAGTTTGTTTAGCCGCGGTTACTTTCGCGGCTTTGTTTGCTTGGTTTTCAAGTGCGCGTTCCAAAGTGGATCGAATCTTTACCGTTAGCTACAATGCTTTCATTGATTCGCTAATTGATCAAATCATCGACGGTTTATTCTATGATGAAATGTGATATACGCTGCACAATAATCATATAGTATACAAAGTGTATATTGTACATTTAGAGTACTCTGGGATAAATAGAAGATGTAATGTTGTTGCTATGATAAATTGAATGATACACTAATTTTATATTGAATCATATGATTCTGTGTTGTTCAATCACCAGTTTAATAATATTACAAGAATCAAATACAAAATGCCTAATCAAAGTTACACGTTTTGCTTGGAAATTCAAAATATATAACAAGAACTTGAATGATATGAAGTTTTATATGAAAAATTAAAGAAAAGTTTGTAAACTTTGTTTATACAAGAGACTGTAATTTGTATTTAACAGCTTATAAGAGTTTAATGTTGAACTATGATGCGCTTTCGATTGTTTGAATGCACTCCAGTACGCTCGCCTTCTTTGCCATCGATGCCATTAATGCCTCGTGGATTCCCTTGTTGTTTTTCAAGAGAGAAGCAGCAAACAAAACCTGCAAAATTTGAGTTTTTTGTGGGTAAAAATGCATGAATATGAGCTTTTTAAATATATCTGCAATGCTATTTGTTTATATATCTTAGGGTTTGAAGAACATACAGCCCATCTGGTGAGATTTTGTTGCTGATCTTTGCTGAGTTGTGGCTTGGTTCTGTTGATAAACCTCTGTAGGAAGTTATATGTTTTTTAAATTATTGTTATTTGATCTAATAAAAGCGAGTAGTTTAATATTATAACATATTTTGGAAATAGAGGTTTTCAAACCTGGAGTGTGAAAAGATCAGCTGATTGACCAACCACTTTGTCATATGTTAAACCTTCTGCTGCTAGTCCAGCCATTGATACAACAGCCAATCTGATCAAAAAAGCAATAAGAATCTGTTTTTCCAAAGCATATTCATCTTGATATCATAGGTGACACGTTTTCTCGACTAAAGCTTTCTGGTAAATACCTATCTAGCTCCTTAGTATCAAGCTGGCCACTATACAGAAGCTTTTCAAGCCTCTCATCAATGAGATTGACATGCTCTTTCCCAATATCCAGAGAATATCCAAAAATGGGTAAGCCAAGCAGATAAGCAACTAGAATGAACAAATGAACAAAAGAACAAAAAAGTCCGAGTTATAGAGTGCACGATGAAATTGAAAAGACATTATATATCATACTTTGTGTATATATGTAAATCAGCCAAAGAATGCAAAAAGGGCATTACTCAGAAAGTGTGCTGCTTCATGTCTAGCAATCCTTTCTTGATAATCAGGAAAAACAGCCGAAAAGCTGCTAATAGCAGCTTGGAGAAGCCTACACTAACATATTAATTAGAGCATTGTTGTTATGGCAAACACTGAATCCACACTGAAGAAAGCATTCACTGCTACTTGATAAGCCTAATTCTTACCCAGGGGCTGTGCTACCTATGCCCAAAACCACTAAGGAAATACTGCCAATCAAGTATGGTACGAAGAATCCCCAATCCTGCATCAATCAGCAACCATTAATCAGTGATGGTAAAAGAGAGAATAGATGGAAAATAGGAAGTTATAACTTCAAGTTTGAGACAGCATCGCGCGATATGTCTTCAATTTCACATTGCATTTGAAATGCTTTTGAAAATCATGAAAAATATGCAATGTGATGTCCCAATGAAACGGATGCGCCTTGATACAGGCTTCAAAGTCTTCACAAAAATTCGCGATGGATTATAAAGATCTCAAACATAAAATAAGCTCAAAGCACAATAGTCACAATATTTTAACAGCTGCAATGCCCTTGATTATAGTGGCCTGTACATTTTGCTCGACTGCAACCACAATTTGAAACCATGAATATTATAAATCACATTTACGAATAACACTCCTAGACTTCATTTTGCTTCTAAAAAGAAGTCATCACACACAAGATCATCGAACAGCCATACGGAGAAAAAAAGAAGAGTGGAGGAGATACATACCCCGGGAAGCTGTCCAGCCAGAATACCTAAGAATCCAGTTGTTCCAACCACAGTAAAGAGAAAAGCTGCCTGCAACACAAAGAGGTCTACGTTATATGTTGGACTTGGAACAAACTTAATTCTCAAGAAACCCATATGTTATGTATAATTTCATTCGATACTACAAGTAAAAAATAAAAAACAATTCTGAAAACTTACATCATTTCTAACACTAGGAATTGCAAGGTTCTCCGCATTTTTAATCCCTAAAGTTGTCAGCTCTCGAATTGATGTCTGGTGCACAAAATTTGGAAGCATTAGACTATAAAAGACAGACAACATTGATAATAATTTTAAAAATTTTGACATCATCTGACATGACACATATAAGACACTGGACACATGAATTTCTTTATTGCTATGTCTATTGGAATCTATCCAGAACTTCAACATATGTAATGGAGAGTTACCGTTCGACGTGAAACATATGGTTGAGAACTCCATTTCTTGGCCCAGCCAATTTCATTGAGTTGATCAAGTGCCTCTTTAACAGCATTGCTATCTTTCTGCAAACAAATATCTTAATTCAGTTTCACATGATCATAAATATAAAACAAATTAAAATTGAATTTGATAAAATCAAGAAAAATGTAATAAGTGTATTAGTATTAGATTATGGAGGTTTTAATTGAGATAGAAATTTGGTGTTAAGACCTTTGCAATTGCAGAATCAAGAGTGTTGAGGTCAACACCAGGTGCAGCAGAGGAAGCTCTTGTTGTGAATTTATGGAGGTTGTGATTATGGCAATAATAATATGGTTTGTAGAGAGAGGATGAGTAAGACATGGTTGACACCCACATTTTTGTTATCTATTTCAGTTCTAAGTGTTACTACCTTATTGGAGGGTGGAGGTTGCAGCAGATAAGGAGTAAGGAAGGACTTGAGAGGCTTTGTGGGACCAATGAAGCAGCTTTATTTTTCATTATTACTGTTTCATTTATCTCTTAAAATAATCTTATATATTTGTAATTTAGTATTTATATATTTATTTTTAATTATTTACCCCTCTAACTTGCTTTTTTAATTATTTATTATTATTTATTTCTTGCTTTGTTAATTATTTGTTATTATTTGTTCCACTATTTATATTTTTTAATTAATAAAATATTATCATACTAAATTGTAATACTATAAATGTTTTTCATTAAAATCCAACAACAATTATTAATTAAAAATTAAAATAATTACCTCCATTACTTTTATAATAAAATAATAGTTAAATTATATATATATATATATATATATATATATATATATATATATATATATATATATATATATATATATATATATATATATATATATATATATATATATATATATATATATATATATATATATATATATATATATATATATATATATATATATATATATATATATATATATTGATTTTGCTAAACACATTAAAACGTTAACTTCCCTAATATTAGTCAGAGAAGGTCTCAAATGACTGGTTAGTGTGTCTGTGATGGTCACAAATGACATATTAGTGTGTCTTTGATTGATATAAGGGAGGATGAGGTGAGCAACTCCATTTTTGGAATCCCTGAGTCTTACACGCATATTGTTCTCATATTGCTCTCACCCAATTGTTGTCCTTTTCTCCCTGCTTTGATATCACTTATACTATTATTCTTCTTCCTTCCAGCATCCCAAGACACTCACCTAATTATGACCATAAGTAATGGTTTGATGGCCATTAGTGAAACAACGATAACAACCATCCGTCATTGATGCAGGTCATAATGCTCAAATGATTTATGAAGGAACAATGTAACAGACAAATCATAATTTTGTAACCTCCGAACGACCCTTGGGCTTCCTCTTTAACTGTTACGGCGGATTACCAACCTAGCCCTCCGGTATCTATCACAAGTCGGTCTATGTGTTCTGACCGATATCTTACACGACCATTTCATCCAACACCGAAGATAGATAACTCGACTATTTGGAGTTTCTGGGATGTACATAAGCCCCTAAAGCATGAGGCATGTAAAAGTACAAAGCCTGTAAGAATGAAGTGTTTTGAGTTCTATCTCGGGTCTCTTAAACTTGACATAAAAGCATTTTAACCAAGTAAGCTCTCATAAATTTGTGATCTTGATGGTGGATCCATTCCTGGAGAATTTTATCTTGAAGATTTACGACTTTACTGAAGTTGAAAAAAGTTACAGCTTCAATGGAAAAGCCGTAGAATCTTAGTGGGCTCTCTATTTATGGCCATCTTGGAACCCGAAGATTTTTGACATGAGAAGTAGGAGAGCCCCAGTAGGTTCTTAACCCGTGGTCGTTGTAAAACTTGGTAGATTCTAGACCTAGAGAAGTCAGATAGCCCTAATGGGATCTCGACCCTTTATTGTTGTAGAACCCGGTAGGTTCAAGACATAAAAAAGTCGGAGAGCCCTAGTGAGATCTTGAACTTTTGAGGTTTTGTTCTGTCGTTAATCATCCTTCAAGGATGTAATGCTTTTGATAGCTTATTCTTCCATTTTCCGTATAATGTTTAAGCCATGATGAGGCTTTTTTATCGCTTATTCATGTTCTTAAGGCATTTTTATTGTGTTTAATTCATAATCAAATATTAATGGTTAGGAATAGTTGTCTATCTAGCCCCAGACAAGCCTTAGCTTACTAAGGTATATATTGTGTTGATGTATATATGGATTTACACCATAAGAACTTTGTATTGATCTTTTTTATTTGGTCAAAGGTTCTTTATTGAACATGAACGACGTTCGTAGCTCCATGGGAGTTGACGTCAAAAGTATATTAGAGGCTTTTATTTGCATAACCCGACCATAGCCGATTTCTCCAGAGGTTTTAATTAACTTGAACTTCAGTTATGCCAGATATTTTAATGAACGTTGTTTGGCCATAGCCGATTATGCCACAGGCTTCAAGTAGCTTGGACTTCAGTTAGGCTAGAGGTTTTATTAACATTGTCCGGGTGCAGTCAATTATGCTAAAAGCTTCAAGTATCTTGGTCTTCTGTTAGGCCAGAGGTTTTAGTAACGTTGCCCGGCTGCAGCCGA